GCCGTGGCACCGTCCACGTCAGCCCGACCTGCCCCTGCTCCGCTGCTCTGCTCTGGGACTTGACTACCTGTGGAAATGTGACCAATAAGTGTTGAATGCATGTTTAGCGAGTGTTTAGCTGTATGAACTAATAAATGTGAATTGTTCTGCAGCGCTGGCGTCTGCTGGTCCCTTGCATGTTCCCCCTTTGGCAGCGGCTCTCTCTTGGGGTAGGGGCACCCTCAGGGTGTGGGAGCCCAGCGCTGGTCTGGGTGGCAGCCGTGGCACTGCCCTGCCTGCCACTGCCCTGGAATCATCTGCGGGTCTCTGGGAAAGGCCTCGGTGTTGTTGGTGCAGCTGGGACTGGCATGAGGGCACAAGCCCTGCCCAGAGCAGCTGCAGCATGGACTGGCAGTGGCCTCTGCTGAGAGCAGGGTTGTCTGGGGGGACCCTGCGCCTTGGGGGTGACAGGAGCGGAGACAGTGCAAAGAGTGAAGGTTTGCACAGGCTCTGGGCCCTGCCAAGCAATGGGAGTGTGGTGGTCCCCATCTCCTGCCTGGGTTCCAGGAGGAGAAGGCAGGAGGATGGGTTTTCTCTGTTCAATCACTGCACACATGGCACAGCCACAGCACTGCTGTCACCAGGGGGTTCCAATCTGGGGGATGACCAGAACATGCAGAGGTTTGGGTGGGTCACTGTCACCACGGGGTGCGGCAGGAGGAGGGTTTGCACTGGCAGCAGCAGGAGGAGTAATCCAAAGAAGCAAATGCACCAGAGGTGCTTGGCCAGCACGCTCCGGAGAGAGGAACTGCAGGAATCGTTTAGCAATCCCTGGTGTTGCTGATGGGGGTGTGTGTTAAAAACCTGAGCAGCACTTTCCACATTCACACTCCTGTCCCTGGGAGTGCACGTGGGGGCCCACTCAGGAGATGTGCTGCTGCAAAGGCAGCTCCAAGTGAGCAGCCAGTGCCGGTCCTGCCAGGAGCCGCTGCCCCGCTCCTCTGCCGAGCGCTCTCAAGGCTCCTGCCCTCTCATTGTGCTCGTTTTCCTTGCTGACAGCATTCATTCCCCTCGGCGGAGCAGCTCCAGTGGCTCTGACACGGTGCCACCCGGGATTTATCCCCCGTGAGGGGGCCCTGAAGGTCGGCAGTGGAGGGGCTCCCTGGGAGGTGGCGGAGGATGCTCCATGCACGTGGGGTGATGGGTTTGTCCTCACCTTCAAACCGAGCTGGAGCTGTGCAGAGGTGACAAGGCGGCTTTTCCCCTCACTCTGGCACGAGGGGCTGCCTGGAAAGGAGGGCTGGAGTGGGAAAAGTACCAGCACATTTTAATTTTCAGCTCAACCCCTACTGACCACTGTATTTTGATTAGAGCTCTGCTTCCTTTTCATCTCGGTGCTCCAGCGGGTGACAACTGCCACAGCCTCGTGCAGGCGGCGCAATAGTTTATCACCGAAGGCCAGCGGCTCTATGAATTCAGAGCCAGCGCGGAACAAATCACACTGTCACTAACGTCAAACTTGTTAACCTGATCTTTGGTGGATCACTAGTGTCAACATTGCACGGGACATACATTATCGGGCCCAAGGACTTTGGGAGATGTGTTTGTCAGGCTGCTCTGTCACAGTCCCACTCTTGACCTTCGCAAAGTAACTCTCAAGGGTAAGTTGCTTTCCTCTTGACAAGAGTGGCTGTTCCCAGGAGTGTCACCCCATGGGTACTAGCTGGGACAGGGCTGTGGGGTCAGCTGGGTCACCTCCCTGCAGTGTTGGGGTCAGCCCAGCAATGGTGAAGGATCTGCTGGGCTGGTCCTGCGAGGCCCCTTCCAGGGTTGGGGAAGGTTTTCCATTGATGTCCATCCCTGCCCGTATCTAATCCGTGAGCTTCTCTCCATCTTGTCACCAACTGTTCCCACATCTCCTCTCTTGCCTGGTCACTGTCCTTTAGGAGTTTAGACCTGAAAACCAGACTGCTGAGTGCAGCAGACTGGTGGGTCACCGCTGGCTGGACCATCACAAGTCTCTCACATCTCAGTTTGCCTAGTGTGGGTGCTTCTAACGGGGTTGGTCACTGCTGCAGAGGTCAGATGAAGGACATGTCACCACAACTGGGCTGGTAACAGGATGGAGAGGAGGTGTGTGCTCCCAGAAAGCTCCTGCATAAGCTCCAGGGGGCAGTTGGGTTTCGTGATGCCTTTGCTGGGGGTGGTGGATCCCCTCCCTGCAGCCCCCACAAGGCGGAGGGGAATGGTGCCACAGGATGGCCTGGGCACCCTGTGTGGGTCTGGGTGCTGAGGGGTCTGCAGGTTAGGACTGTGTTGGAGAGGATGTGGCTCATGGCTGGAGGGACCCTGAGGCAAGTGCTGGATCTGTGCTCCACATTGCTGTCCTTGTGGGCTGACCCTGCTAATCAGCTGTGAAAGAGAGAGAAAGCTGGAAAGAAATCTTTCTCTCTGCTAACCTCATCACAATAAAGATTCCTATAAAGAGCTCTTATCCTTGAAGAAAATGAGGCACATAAGCAGGAATAGTAAACAAAAGGCTGTCATTTTGACCCAGGAGTGCTTCATGTTGTTGGCAACTGCCAAGAGGAAACATAAAGAGAGGCTGCATCCAAGTCCCAATTATGCAGAACTATGTGACTGATATGTCAATGAGTCCCCTCGGGAGGAGACCACCAGCGCTTCCCCGCGCTGCCCGCGCAGCATCTGCCCCCGCCGCCACGTGCCGGGCCGCCCGCGCCCCGCGCAGGTGTGTGGCACCGCAGGAATGCGGGGACAAGGTAATGTCATGGGGAGCGCTATCGCCACGGCCTCGCCGCGCGCGAATTATCGGCACGGGCCCCGGAGTCAGGGACTGCCGGCGGCGCAGGCAGCGGGGTTTGGCAAACAGTAGTGCCGGCCACACCTGCTGCAGGCACGCTCCGGGAACGTGGCGCAGGCAGGAGGGCTGCCCCGCGCCGATAAGCTGAGTGGATGGAGATAAAATCCGAGCAGGAGATATGCTTTGCTGAGCATCAAGGCTACGCACCAGCGAGGAGCCAAAGCACGCCGCGGCCCGCGGCGGGTGGTGTGGATCCACAGCTCCGGCTGTGCCACGGCCATGCTGGGAGGACGTGGAGCAGCCAAGTCACCAAACCAACAGCCAGGGCTTTGGTGACAGACGTGCCGGTGCTTGGGCCTGTCGGCGGCACAAGACAGAGGCTGTGCTGCTCCCTTGGCTGTGACAACACTGTCACAGGGCAGCAACTTTGGGGCCTATCCCCAGCCCTGAACTTCCCCTCCCCAACACGTCCTGTGTGGCTGGAAGCCACAAGCCACCTCGTCCGTCCCTCCTGGGTGCTATGGCCCCCAAAATGTCACCCATCTGCACCTCCTCCCTGTCCCCAGGGACCCCTGAGGCTGCCGGGAGGCGGCTCTGCCCGGTGCCTGTGTGGCTGCTGCAGCTCAGCCTTCTAGACCCACCCTCCCGCCACCATCCGGGACCTGCCGGGCTGCACCGCGGCCCATGTGCTGGCCCTGACCGTGGCCGTGCTGCAGGAGCTGGGCCACAGCCTTGGCCAGGGCCAGCGCAGAGGAAAGTGCCCAAGGCCAGCAGGGACGTATTTACCCCCGAAAGCACCTTGCTGCAAAAATAGCAAGTGGCCGGTGTGAGGCCGGGGCTTCCCGGGGGAACAATGCCTGGCAGGAGGAAGCGGCTGCGGCCGCCCCGCAGCCCCGTCCCGCCTCGCACGCCGCTGAGCCGCGAGCCGCTGCGTGCCGGCCCGGCAGGGACCTTGAACCTGCCACAGATTTATTTTCTCTGACATTGGCATCGCGTCGGAACATCTGGCATGTGGCTGATAATTGCTGGGGATCAGGGCGGAAGCCGCTCCGGGCCTGGCGCTTCTTCCAGAGCTCTGTTTTCATTAGTTTTATTTCTCTCTTCAGCTGCAATGCGAGGAAAAAACAAGCAGGGCTGTGCAGCCCGTGCTCCTGCTCCTCTCCCCGCGGCACCAGGGGCTCTCTGCTCCCCGCACTCGGCGTGGGTACACTGCAGGGCACGTCACTGCCGCTCCACGTCAGGGCTGCACTGATAGAGGGAGGGGACCAGCCTTTTGCTGACCCCTGAGCCCAGGGCTGTGGGCCCTGCCGTGCCCCCCAGGTAGCCAGCAGCCACCTGGCCAGAGCAGAGCCGTGGCACAGCCCTCGCTGTGCTGGTGTGGGGCTCGAGGCCGTGGCAGCCACTCCTTCCTGGGGCTGTCGTCACTGGGACAAAGCAGGGAGAGGACACTGCACAAACATGTGGGAAGACACGGTGGTGATGGACGGACGGAGCGCAGGGCCAGTGCTGGGGGCGGATCCCTGCTCTGGTGGGATGGAGGGGTCTCTTATCCAGCCTCCTGCCCCAGCATTGCCATTCCCATGTTTCACGGGCTGGTTGGGACCCAGGCCCTGTAGCTGACACGGTGCCCATGGATAGGACCATGCCCAGCAAAGGAACGTGGGGAATCGGATATGGCAAACACAGCCAGAGCTTGGCTGCCTAGGCCCAGGGACACTGCCTTTCTGCCAGTGCTGTTCTGGCACAAGCAGAGTTGCTAGCCATGGGCACAGTGAGCCCCGGGGACCCAGGAGTGGGGCCCTGAGTGTGGAGGAGCCTCCTCCCACCCTCCCCTGCAGAGGAGACCTCCCTTGGCCAGGAGGCCGGGCTGTGTCCCAGCCCCGGGTGGGTGAAGTGGGCTCACGTTCCTCCCAGAGGTGTCCTGCCGCATGCCCTCGGCCCCCTCCCTCCCACTCTGGGCTGTAAATCAGGGTGTCTGTGGGTGCTGGTGCACTCCCTGCCGCCCGCCGGTGCCCCCTGCTCCCCGCAGGGTCTCCCTCCCGGGGCGTGTTATCTGCTGTGGGGGTCCCACTTATCTTTGCTGTCACTTTCTAATGCTAGTTTATGGGCAGCGTTCTGTAGCTTAATTATGATGTTTTTCAGCACGGTCACGTGGCCACAGAAGCCAATAAGGCACCAAAGTGGGTCCATCCCATCTGAGCCTGGCCCCCATGGGGAGGAGATTGGCCGGTGTCCTGCTCGGGGCGGCGTGTGCACAGCCAGAGCCCCGACACCTTCCCAGCGGACACGGGTCCCATAAATCCCCCAGCCCGCCGTGGACAGGGCAGCGGTGCCCACACCCCACGGAGGCTCCTCGGGTCGCAGCTCCTGGCCGGTGGCCGAGCGAGGCTCTCCCGCCCGCCGGCCCCACACGCAGCAGCCGTGCAGCCGCCCCGCGGTGAGTACGAGCCCGTGGGGGGAACCACGGTCGCCCATCCCACCCTCCTCCCAGCCACTGCCGCCATGCCCTGGCACGGTGGCAGCCAAGGCCAGAGCTGGGGACACGGTAGGGCTTGGTGAGGAAGCGAGAGCAGAGTGTGGGCCTCTGCTTCCCGCCCCTTCCCTGCCAGCGGGCGTGGGGATGGCGGCTCTGCAGACCGCGGGCAGCAGGGCGAGGCCTCGCCGTCGCCTTGGCCCCTCGGCCACGCTGCTGCCCAGACATGACAGATCTGGCTGCTGAGGGGAGGCCAGCCAGCGGTGCTGGGGGCTCCGGTCACCCAAGGATTGGGTGTTACCCATGGGAGTGCAGGCAGCCCCCACACCCTGGAGCAAGCGTGGGAGGCATCCGGGACCCCTCAACTCTCGATGCTGGCTGAGCCCACATCCCCCCCCAGCCCACACTGGCAGGGATCAGAGCCTTCGGCTCCGAGTTGCTTTTGTTCCTCGCAGTGTTTGCTCAGTTCTTCTCCCAACCCACAGCCCCTCCTGGGTTTGTCTTCCCGGATGGCAGGCCCTGCTCCATGGGAGCTCATGGCGAGTGTGGGGGCCATGGCCAAGGGGCTCTGCTGTGGTGGGGCTGCTCCTTCCCGGCCGTATGGCTGCCGACCCGCACCGTGGGCTGCTCTGCTCCTATTCTTAGCCCGGGCTCCATTCCTGAGGGCTCTGGAGCGATGCTGCGCCGAGCCCGTTTCCTGTTTGCCGCTCTCCCTGCCAGTGCTGCTTCCTACACGCCGCACCCGCGGGCGGCAGCTGATGTGTGGGGCAAGCGGGGGGGATGAGCCAGGCGAGATGGGATGAGTGGGATGAGTCCTGCAGGACGAGCCGTGCGGGATCAGCTGTGCGGGATCAGCCATGTGGGGCCGTGAGCCATGGCTCCCCTTTGCAGGGCACTGCCGGCAGCACAGCCCTCGGTCATCCAGAGCTCCAGACACCCACAGCCTCGTGCCCTCCTGTGCCACTGCCCAAGGGCTGTGCTGGCAGCAGGCTCCCGTGGGATGGGCTCAGCTCCGGTGCCTCGAGCTCCCCATGGTGAAGTGCCTGGGCCGTGGCGTGTGGCCTGGGAGCGTCCTGATAAACAGGACGTGCCCACAGCCAGGGTGCTCCTGTGCCGCTCTGCAGCCCTCATGGAACATTTCGTTCAGAATCCCTGAGCGTTCAATTGATCCCTGCTGTCTGACAGGCAGACCAGGACACTGTGAGCAGTGGGTGCTCCAGGTGGGGTGGCTGGTGCTGGGTCCGAACTGTCACCTCCTTAGTGGTGGCCCCAGAGGAGGTGTCAGGAGCTGCTGCACATCCTGGTGCTCCCCACGCAGCTCTCCCTGGGCTGGCAGGGCCAGCTGGTGTAGGGTAACAGGGAGTTCTGACAAAGCCAGGGGTCCAGGGATGTGCACCGAGCAGAGCAGGCTCATGCTCAGACACGGTTAATTGTGCTCCAGCCCCAGGACTCCTGGTTCCCAGTGGATCGTGCCACTCTCAGGCCGGATACCCGGGGAGGCTGGGGGGCTTGTTGTTCCCCACAGATGATGCAGGGGAGCAAGGAGGGTCTTGTGCCCCTTCCCGCAGAGCGGTGGCCCCTGCCCGTCCCCGGGGGAGTCCCTGGGGGGATCCCCGGTGCTGCCGAGGCCTGGCCGAGCTGCTCCCCAGGCCGGCCGCCGCGTCCCCGGTCCCCGGGCCGGCGGGTCCCTCCGCCCCCGCCCCGTCCCCGCCGCCGCGAGCCGCCCGCTCTCCCAGAGGAGGTTCCCCAGCCCCGGGGGGCTGGCCGTGAGCCCGCACCAACATGGAGATGCTCTTCCAGGCGCTATAAAGAGCTCCGGCTCCCGCACCTGCAGCTCGGTCTCCGCTGCGCCCGCTCCTGCTCCGCACCCAGCGCCGGGGCTGGGGCCGCCGCCCGTCCCCTTCCCCGTCCCGTCCCGTTCCTCTGACCGCGGCTCGTCCCGCAGCAGGGCCGCTGGAGGGGATGGACTATTCCTATGATGAGGACCTGGACGAGCTCTGTCCGGTCTGCGGGGACAAGGTCTCCGGGTACCACTACGGGCTGCTCACCTGCGAGAGCTGCAAGGTAGGATCGGCCGGGGCTGTGCGGGGTCGGGGCTGCGGGGCCGGGGCTGTGCGGGGCCGGGGAAACGCGGCTGGGGCTGTGCGGGGCTGGGGCTGTGCGGGGCCGAGAATGCGGGGCCGGGGAAGCGGGGCCGGGGCTGTGCGGGACCGGCGCCTTGCGGGGCCGGGGCTGTGCGGGAAGCACTGCACGGGGGAAAGGGGGCAGGGGCTCTGTAGGGAGCGGGGACGTGGCTCTGCAGGGGCCGGGGCAGCGGGACCGGCCGCGGGGCTGCTCTCGCCCGTTTTCGTTAGCGGCGGATTCGCGCCCGGCGGCGGGAGAGGAGCCCGGCAGCGACGGGAGCCCCGACAGCGGCGGGGGCGGCGGGACCCTCCGTCGGAGGCGGGTGGAGGGGACGGGGCGCTGACGCCGGGATGCCGGTACCGGTGCCTCCCGCAACGCCGCCGTCCGCCGCCGCAGGGCTTCTTCAAGCGCACGGTGCAGAACAACAAGCACTACACCTGCACCGAGAGCCAGAGCTGCAAGATCGACAAGACCCAGCGCAAGCGCTGCCCCTACTGCCGCTTCCAGAAGTGCCTCACCGTGGGGATGCGCCTGGAAGGTAGGGACGGACGGGCACGGCGGGGCGGGGGGCGGCGGCGGGGCCGGGAGCTGTGAGGGGACTGTGCGGGGACTGTGCGGGGACTGTGCGGGACTGTGCGGGACTGTCGGGGACTGCGCGGGGACTGTGAGAGGCTGTGAGGGGCTGTGCGGTTCCCGAGACTGGTCGCGCTGTCCCCGCTACCACCGCCTCCCCGGGCCGGTCATTCCCGTCGCCGCTTCGATTCCGTTTTTCCTTCCGAAGTTAAGAAAAAATTCGTTTTTTCGCGTCGCCTCCTGCTTTTCCTTGTTTCGTTTTGGTTTGGTTTTTTTTTTCCCCAGGGTTTTGGCTGCTACGGCTTCAACTTTCCAGGATTTTTTTTTTGCTGGCAGGAAGGTTGAGAAATAGCAAATAAATTATTGTTTTCCTTAAGCACATAATTCCAGAAGCCGAGACTTAAGGAAAACGTTAAAAATGATGGGGCTCGCAATAAAACTGCCGCAGACCCACCACGAATTATATTTTTCCTCTCGGTGACATTTAATATAACGGATTTCTGACCCTCGAGGGGGCAATTCCAGCCCCACAGCCGCCACCTCTCTCCTGTCGGCGCAGTCGATCCCGGCATCAGAGTCGGGCCCCGACAGCCGCGAGTGGCGCGTTGTGGCTTCTGCAACGCTCGGCAAGCGGCAACGAAATATATTTGGGGGACAGGTCGTTCTCATGGGATGGCAGAGCAAACGCAGAGGCAGAAGGAGCCCCCCCACTCCAGAGTCAGCCGCCCCCCCAACTCTTCGCCCCTGAAATCGTTTGTGTTTTGCAGCGGGGGGAACTGGACTGAGCCCCTCGCTGGCCGGGCTCAGTCCCTCGCTTGCCCGGCTCAGTCCCTCCCTGGCCGGGCTCGGTCCTTCCCTGGCCGGGCTCATCCCCTCGCTGGCCGGGCTCGGTCCCTCCCTGGCCGGGCTCCCTGCGCGGGGCACAGCGCGGTTTATCAGAAAGTCCTCCGTGTTCTCGCCGGGCAGCCGCTCGCTCCGGGAGCGGGATGGGAGCCTGCGAGCAACGGCACAGGAGCAAGACACAACATCGAGCTGCAAAATCAGCCCCAGCAAACTCCCGGCGTGGGCTGGCTTCCAAAACAGATCCCAGTTTCGCTCTCCTCCCCGGGCTGGAGTTACTGGTGACCCAAATCACTCCGTGCATGCTCTGGCAGCTTTGATCGATGTCTCAGGGGGATTTGGGTGCTGAGCAGGGGCTGGGGGCCCTGGGACAGCGGGCAGGGGCAGCGCTTGGGGTGCCCGAGGGAGACAGGCACATGGCTTTTTATCCCTTTCCAGCAGTTTTTGTCTTGCTCACTGTGGAGGTCCTTTGGTCCCAGGGCTGTCTCAAAGAGCCTTTATTTGTTTATTTTCTTGCTGTTGGCCCCTTAGCTGAGCTGGGCAGTCAGAGGGATCACCCAGTGGAGGGTGATATTCCTATGGAGCCATCTCTTTTGTGGTAAAAAACAGAGATCACTTCTCCTCAGCTCCTAGTATTTTTGGGCAAGGCACCTGAGGTGATGCTTTGGAGGTGAGTCTCCAGCTCCACAGAACAAGAGCAAGCCCGAGGCGATCGATTTTGGGGGCAGTGTTGACACAGGCACCCCTCAAAGTGCCTGAAGGGAGGCTGTAGGGAAGCCCGGCCCGGGAGCAACACAGCCCTGGCCCAAGGCTGCCCGCAGCTCTGCTCAGCCCCCGGGCACCACCCTGGGCACCCTCCACGCCCCTGCCTGGGCAAGGGGAGGCAGAGCCTGGCCAGCAGCCTGCCCTGGCCGAGGGCTGCATGGGGGCGAGGGCAACCGAGGCAGTGGGAGTGGGAAGCGGGGGCTGCAGGGTGCTGAAGACCCCTCCTGCTGCCATGTGGGTGTGTGGCTTGGGGGTCACCTGGAGAGGGTTTTGGGGGGGTTGCTGGGGGTGAAGACTTTTCCTGAGTGGCTCCACTTGGGCCCTCTTGCCCTGGAGGTCGGGGCACATAATTTCCTTCCCAGCTGCCAACTGGGACACAGCAAACGGCAAGTTGTTCTTGATCCCAAGTGTGGCACAAATGGCAGGAAAAGCAGAGCAGGAGGGAATTAAAAGGCCTCTTCTCCCTTTGTGTTCTTGCTGGGAGAGGGGAGGAGGTGTATGCGGTTGCCTGCAGAGGGTTTGTGAGACTGGACTGTGAGCACCTCGTGCTGTGGGGGGGTGCAGGCAGCACCAGGGGGGTCTCTGCCTGTGCACTCTTGCCTGGGGCCACGAGAGTCCCTTTGGGATGCAATCCCTGGGCATTGCTGGGCCCGACCTCAAGCAGTGGTGGAAACACATCACTTCGAGTGGGTGTGAGATTTGGGCTTTTGGTGTGCTCTGGCTCTGGGATGTGTGGCTGTGGCTGCCAGACCTGCCTGTGCCAGCTCGGGCTGCCAGCCGTGCCTGCCCACGGGACACCCCAGCTTGGGTATGTGCAGTGCTGGCTGCGGCACCTCCCTCGTACCCCCAAGTCAGGAGCTGCCCCGGGGCAGCTCTCTGCTGCCCAGAGATGTGTGGGGAGGCTCTCAGGGGCGGGGGCCACAGCACCCCTCGCCTCAGAGGCTGCCGCTGGCTGCCCGCTCCCAGCGAGATGCTGTTTTCATGAATAAAGAATGAGGGAGGAAGCCAGGGCGGCTCTCCTGGGAGCACATTCCTGCTCATCCTGGAAATGCTGCTGCTCCCGACCGCCTTTCCAGCCTGCCTGGGGAGCACTGGGGAGGTGCTCGGGCTCTCCGGGGGGGGCTGGCTGCGCGCCCCAGGATAAGTAGGCGAAAGAGAGGCAGAGGTAACAGCTGAGACACAAAGCAAGACCCGCTGGCTGTCAGCAGGAACACTGAACTAGCGGAGGGTTTTTTGCCTTTGATGCTCAGCCTGTGAGCTGCTCTCGCTGGCTCACTCCTCCGTCCCTCTGCGCTGCCGTCCAGCTCCCAGCTCCCGGCTCCCAGCGATCTGAGGCTCTTCCAAGGGGTGCGTCAGGGCAGCAGCCCCTGGGAGCACAGCAAGGCAGTGCAGAGGGACAGGCTCCTGCTGCAGAGAAGCACCTGCTCCCTTGATTGTTGACGTATTCGTGGGTTTCTTTTGGCATTCAAGGGGAACATCTGCTTTGCTGCAGCCGGGACACTGCGATGGGCCCTCGGAGTGACTGTGCCAGCGGGATGCTCCGGCAGAGTCCCTCGGTGAGGCTGTACCCGCAGGGCTGGCAGCCTCCTGCACCCACCGGGACCTGCCGGCCGTGCTGCTCGAGACAGGGGGAGAGATTTGCAGAAAAGCAGCACGTGCAGCCTGGATGCAGGGACACAGGGTCCTGAGGGGGCTGTGGGGTCCCAGGCTCTGCAGGAACAAGGAAATCCCAGGGCTGGTCCAGCGTCAGGGCTTGTTAAAGTGAAAGTGGACGTCAAACCCCCTCGTCTGCTCAGGCTTCAAGGGCTGTCCTCTCAGCTCATGGGGGATGGAATCCGCTTTATCCCCCAGCTTGTTTTATAGTTAAATCCAAATGCCTCTTCCTTTCCTGCAATTCCCAGGGGCTCTGAGAGTGACATCAGCTGGGCTGAGTGGCACAACCTGCTGTCCACCTTATGGGAAGGTCTTCCTGGTGCCCCACAAACCCTTTTCACCATCGAGCCGTGTGTGTCCCCACCCCCCCTTTTTCTCTGTGCCGTGTGAAAGCCCTGGTCTTCCTCTGTGAGGGTTCTCTGCAGCCTCTGCCCTCTCTCTGTCCCCAGCTGTCCGTGCAGACCGGATGCGCGGAGGGAGGAACAAGTTTGGCCCCATGTACAAGCGGGACCGTGCCTTAAAGCAGCAGAAGAAAGCTCTGATCCGTGCCAACGGCTTCAAGCTGGAGACGGTGCCTCAGATCATGTCCCCGGTGCAGAGCGACTACAGCCTGTCCTCCACCATCCACAGCATCCACGCCATGTCCAAGACGCTGCCGCCCAACCCCGCTGCCCTGACGCCCGTGGACTACGAGCGCAGCCCCTACGGGACGCCCTCCCTGGGAGTGACTGTGCCCGGCCACGCGCCGCTCCCCGGATACCACTACCCCTCCTTCCCCAACCGCACCATCAAGTCCGAGTACCCCGACCACTACACAAACGTGCACGAGTCCGTGCCCGCCTACGTGTACCCAGAGACCTACCCCAGCAGCTCTCCCCCCGACATCCCCGAGGTCATCCTGAAGCTGCTGCAGCTGGAGCCTGACGAGGCCCAGGTGAAGGCACGGATACTGGCCTGCCTGCAGCAGGAGCAGGGCAAGGGCCGGCACGAGAAGCTCAGCACCTTCGGCCTCATGTGCAAGATGGCAGACCAGACCCTCTTCTCCATCGTGGAGTGGGCACGGAGCTGCATCTTCTTCAAGGAGCTGGAGGTAGGAGCCCGGCAGCGGGGAGGGTGATGGGGGGCAGGCAGGACTGAGGCTGCCATGCCGTGAGCATGGGGTGCTGCTGCGGGCAGGGCTGAGGCGGAGATGCTGCGAGGGCAGGGTGACACCCGTGGGCACGAGCCTGGTGCTGTCCCAGCAGATCTGCTGGCTCATCCCCGTCCCGCTCCCGGCTCCCTGCACGGCAGGGCTGGAGGCAGCGGGGCCCAGCTGCGGTGCCGGAGCGATTCCCGCTGTCGCGTGGGGCTGATGATTTCAGATTCATCACGGCAGGGGCAGGTGTGGAGGCAATCGCCGGCAGAGTGACTGCGGTGTCAAGCTCAAGATATAATTGAAAAATGTAACGTTGAGGAATTATAGTTGAGACAATTCTCTCCTCCGCCTTTAGGAGGAAAATCGATGTGGTCAGGTGGGTCCTGTCAGCGCCAGGCAGCCGGGGCAGGGCTGGCTGGGGCAGGGACACCACCGAGCCCACTCCGGAACCGTGTCTGCTGTGGCAGCCCACGAGTGTGCCAGGCTGGGGGACGTGCAGCTGAGCCCCATCCCACCGGGACACCCGCTTAACAAATGCCCCTGAACATTTACTGGGCCCAGCTTAGCAGGGCTGGGGCAGCCTCTGCCATCCTGCACACCTTGCCAGGCTTCCAGACATTTTCCATTCATGCCCTGCACTGACCTAAGTTCCCAAACTGGTGCAAAAATGGGAAAGAAAATTTGTGTCGTGGCCAAAACCCAGAGAGCCACGTACGGAGGCATCTGAGAGACATGGGTGCCTTCTAGTGCTTTCAGTGTGAGGCTCTGCTACCTGACTCTGGCCAAAATCACCTTCTTCCTGTGGGGATGGTACTGTGGGACAGAAGCAGGCTCTTCCCTGTGCCATGGTGCCACGGGGCTGAGTGTGGCCAAGCCTCACAGCTCAAAATAGTCCCCAGCTGCCAGAACAGTGTCAGGAAACGGCATTGTGGGGGTGAGTCGGGCTTGTTTCAATCATATCAGTGTCCAGCCTGGATTTTGGGAACAGGGTGGTTGTTGTTTTCCAGGAGATATTGTAAACAGTGTAAATTCAGTTCCCGGCTGTATTGCTGCGTAGCCTTGTAACTCCATTGTTAGCCTGATTGTGCTACCAAAATAGGCTGTTTCTGTGTGAATCCTTCTTGGTGGGTGCTCCTCCTTCCATGGGGCTCTGGGGGGGATGGCAGTGCCAGAGGTCTCACCTGGGCAGGGGCAGCTGTGTCCTGCCTGGAGCAGGTCATGTCCCCTGCCATGCCCAGGACATGGGGTTCGGTGCTCAGGGATGGGAGCTCAGCTGGGATCCGTATCCGTCTCTGCCATCTCAGGGGCTCGTGCATTTTGCCTTCATCCCCATGGTGATTGTGGAGTGCATTCCCAGCATTTTGCAGGGCCAGGGCTTCAGGACACCTCGTCCCACTCTGGCTCCAGCGGGGGAACGCGGTGTCGCCGTCCTTGGCTCCCTCCCCTGCGCTGACTCTGCGGCACAACGGGGCAGGTCCAAACCCCAGCACAGAGTGGAGGTGCCCAGGCCCCCCAGGATGGTGCTGGGGCTGCCCTCTGCCCCCCCAACATGCTGCAAACTCCCTGGTACAGGATGATGGCTTCTCCCTGGCCATGGAGAGAGCAGCTGGTGGGCAGGAGCAGGTTTGAGATCTCGAGTCCCCACTCCTGCTCCTGCAGGCACACAGGCAAGCAGCTGCTGGGGCAGCAAATGAACTCCTGCCAGTGCAGAGTTTATGGCTGTGCCCTAAAGCCAGCACAGAGGGACATGGCAATCTCCGAGATCCATGGCCACTGCTGCAGGCAGTCCCTGCTGGGTGCTCGGGGCTCCTCCGAGCAGGGAGGGATGCCAGCAGCCCTCTCCATCCCCTGGGAAGGTCTGTGTGAAAGTGAGGGTGCCCAGCCCCAGCAGGGATGGGCTGTTGGCCGAGGCCAGTGTGGGGATCCAGGCTGGAAGGGCACTGTGCTGGGATATTGCTCCAGGCATCATGCAGGGCTCACATCACTCACGGAGGGGGTGCAGGCAGGTGAGAAGGGGTGTGCAGGATGATGACCCCATCACGCCATGCCCTACCTGAACCCTCCCAGCACTCATGTGCTTCCACAGGGCTGTCTGCAGGTAGCTGGCTTCAATCCAGGGCCTCTGAGGGGGCCTGGGGAGGAAGGAGAAAACCCTCAGGGACATGGGGACCTGCTGGCTCACGCCTGGCCAGGATGAGCCTTCGGTCCCTGCCCGGGGAGAGTGGGAGCAGGTTTCCCCGGAGCTGGCCAGTCTTGTTCCCATTCTCATTCCTGGCCCAGCAGTCTGGTGAGGGGCAGACTGGGTGTTTTGCCCTCTCCTCCTCCTGACGGGGTGGCCGGGCTGGGAGATGTTGGGGAGAGGCCCCCTGGCTCCGCCGCCGCGCCCGGGGGAGGAGGGGGGCGACGGGCTAATGGCCTCTTGACATCGGCTCACACGCCACGTCCGCCCGCAGGCGCGGGGCAGTCAGATTGAAAACAGATTTAACTTCCCAGATATATCGTTTCATTTAAGGGCCAGTAATTCTGTCAGTCTGCCACTGACAAACGAGGGTCCCCACGCCAATCCGCCGGGAGACTGATGTCGCGGCGCTCATCTCGTGTCACCAGGAGGAGAATTACGGACTGCGCTGGCCTTCGGAGGCAAGACTAATAACGCCGTGCGGCAGAGGGGGATTTGGGGGCCCGCTTGTTTATCGAGGGCCGGCCAGGCAGCCGCGGCGCGAGGCCGCGCGGGCGGAGGTGGAAGAGGTCAGCGCTGACGCCCATAAATACGAACTTTAACTGAGTCTAGATGAGATGTGTCAGGACTGAGGGAAGATTTGCAGCACCTCTTCAGCAAGAAAAATATGGGCCGGGGGTGAAATATATTTTGTTGGGTCGTGAGTCTCAGGCAACTTTGTCCTTTCAGATGTAATTTTTTTATATATGTATGGAGAGAGACAGACAGAGAGATGTGCACGCACACACATGTGTGCTCTTGCACGCTCACATTGTGTCTGGTTTTGGAGTGGTTTATGCACATGTCCTGCACAGCCTGGTTCATATAGGTGTCACTGCCATACCTACATATCAATATTGTGCACGCAGGGTTGCAGTGACCTTTAGATTGGGATGAGCAGCCAGGAATGTTAAACAAATTGCCACGGTTTCAGCCCGAAGGCCAGGCTGGGCTGGGTGTGCAGAGGGTCCCTGTGCTGCTAGAGGGGCACGGCACAGCCACAGGGTGGTGGGATGATGCTGACCCCCTCCTCGGCCCCTTCGTGCCACGGGGCTGGGGCAAACGACCCTCCCACCCACAGGCAAGCACCAGTGATGGGGGGATGCTGAGGGCAGCACCGTTCCCACGGACCAAGGGGTCCCTGCGGTTACTGGGTCTGTGTGCTGGGCTGCTCTCCCTCCGTCCTCGTCAGAGATCTCAGAGCCACGACGAAACCTATTTGCAGTCAGTTGCTTCTCTGCCTTTAGCATGTGTGGGTCATCTTGACCCCATCTCCTGGCCAATGGCCAGAGCGTTTTTGGCAGATTTAAAATCTCCTTCTGGTCGTGGATGCTGCAGCAATGTTTAGCATCCCATGCACTGGGGGAAAAGTGACGCTTCCCCTGCCTGTGGTGTCCTGGCCAGCACAGCCCTGCCTGCAGAACCATGGTGCTCACATAGCTTGGGGCACAGCAGCATGGGAGCCAGCAGGGAGATGAGATTCTGGTCTTGCTGCACTGGTTTTGATGGTTTTTTGCTTTAAGCTGCCCGTCGTGGTGGTACCTGGGCAGGGGGATGGGGACATGCATTCACCATTAACACCTTGGGCTTGTGTGAGGTTTCCATTGCAGGTGGCTGGTGGACATTAATCCACTTTGGCACTTCTCTGGAGCTGAGCTGTTGGGTCCTGCTCACACCCAGTAATTGCTGGGGCTGCGGCTTGGGGCACTGACGTGTGCCCTGCACCTGTGTGAGGGTTGTGGGACAAATCCTGCACCTGAGATCTGGGTGGAGGCCTGGAGAGCATCTGTGGGCAGGAGGCAGGTTGGGGGCATCCGAGCACTCCTTGTGCCCGTGCCTGGGGATCCATGTCCTGGGACCCGCTCAGGGCTTCCTGCCAAAGCAGAACTGCTGATGGTCACTCTGCTTCCTAACAGAGATGCTGGAGGGCAGCAGTGGCACCCAAGGTGGGGGATGCCCTGAGCCAGCTGTGCAGGGAGCAGCGAGCACAGTGGGGCTGCACTGTCCCCACATGGCCTGGGAACGTTTTGGGAGCCCCAAAACTCCCAGGGGCTTCCTCACCTCGCTCCTATGAACCCACAGGGAGGGTTGTAGGAGTTTAAAACTACACCCACGTGCAGGTCCTGCAGCCCTTGCCTGGGCAGCATCACCCCTGACTCTGCACGCCCTCCCTCCGCTCTGGCGCCATCCTAGACCCTTTCCCACAGGGAATTGCATTTTCTGTAGGTCACAGCCCATCAGAATCCCCGGTGACAGGGGATTGCTCTCTCAGCACGGGGTGGGGTGTGTGTTTGCGGCATGTTTTGTGAGTGGGTTAAATGCTTGCTTTAAAAAAAAGGTAAAAATTGCCTCTCAAAACCAGCTTGCATTAGGCCCTTGATAAAGCACTCCGCGGAAAAGCCTTGACATTCAAAGAGGAAGATCCTTTGCTTAACTTTTAACGGGGAGTGTGTGTGTGCTGCCGCCTCGCCGGGAGGATTGATTGCCTCTGAGTGCCCCTCCATTAGCAGCCCTCTGCTCCCGGGAGGCCAGGCCAGGGCGGGGGACAGCCAGGTGACCCCCAGCCAGAGCCCCCCTGCAGCAGAACCACAGTGCCAGAGCAGGGTCATGGGCCCTGCCCACTGCCCCAAACCTGGGGCACAGGGACCCCCAGCTTGGTGCTGGGGACCTCTCTATGGCCCCCAGCCCTGGCTGGCCCACTGAGCCCCCAGCCCACCCTGTCATCCCCCCACGCCGTGGCCGTGTGGCTCTGGTGCACTGCGACGCTCCCGGGGAGCACCGCGGCTCACCCAAGTGTGCTGGCAAGGGAGCAGCCGTGCAGCAGCCACACAGGGTGACATGTGCTGCTGAGGGGCTGCAGGGAGGGAGCAGAACCCCCCCCCCCCCGCAGAGTTTGGCAGGAGCCGATCGGCAATTTTTTGAAGGAAGAAAAGATTTCAAAATTGTAGAAGTGCTTTCTTTCGAAAAAGCTAAATTTTTTTTTTAGAACTTTTCTCAAGGCAAAAACCTTCTGTCTGTCCCTTCTGGAGCTCATCTCGCTCAGGAATGAGGCACAGGAAGGAGCTTCCAAAACAACGCCCCGGCTCAGCCGGAGCGGAGGCGCTCGGCGCGGTGCAGCTGGGCTGGCAGAGAGCTGTGCACCGGGACCCCAGCGCCCTGCCAGGGCCATGAGCCTGGGGGCAGAGGTCACCACGGATGCAGAAAATCTCTGTTCTGTTTTGGTGCAGAATGAGCTTTTCCCCAGGCCTTTGTTCAGCAGCCGAACGGGAGCCTCACAGCCTGTGCTGCTGGGCCACGGACCACGGCTCCTTGGCTGACCTGGGCAATGGGGCAGCAGCCCCCCTGTGCCCCCTGCCCTCCCTGCAGTGCCGGGCAGGAGTGGGTGCTGCAGCCCCACCTCGCTGCCTGCCCACCCCATCCCCTCCCCGCGCTGCCGCAGGACCGGCTCTGACCACCCACCGCACTTGAGAGACAAATCCCGGCGGCTCACGGGGAGCGCCGGCTCTGAGGCTCTGAGACCATAAAGCTCTTTCTCATCTGGCTTCTATTCCCTTTTGCAATCTCCCAGCGCCGGTTTATTGCAGCCTCTTCAGCAAAACGAGGGCATTATCCAGCCCTGTGATGCTGCATCTGTCTTCCCTCTATTAAAGGGGGAGCACAATGGCCCTGCAGAGCTCAGCTGCTGGCACTGGATTTGCTCCGCAGGGAGGTGGTACCGTAATCCCAGCCCTTTCCCTACACCAGCCCTGCAGGAGAGGGGGGGGTCCAGGCAGGACAGGAGTTCAGTTCCCTGTGGAAAGGAGTTGGGGTCTGGAGAAGGGCAGTGCTGAGGGGATGAAGCTGGTGACCCATGGTGGTTCTCAGCGGGGTGGTGGGAAGGCAGCTGAGCTCCCCGTGCCGGGACAGGAGTGTGCCCCATGTTCTGACGTGACTCTGGGTGCAGGGGCCTGGCAGAGCTAAGAGCTCTGCCAAATGCAGCCGTTGGCTCTGGCAGCTCGTCCTGCCAGTCACTGGTGCTGCCTGCAGTCCCTGGCACCCTGCAGGACCTTTGGGGGCCCTTACAGCTTGTGTTCCTTTGGGGCTGTGCCTGCAGGTACCCACAGCACGGGTGTGAGCGTGCGTGTGACCACGCGTGTTGGTGCGTGGGCAGGGGCTGGGCTGGCAGCTGCAGGGCACAGCGATGCCCCCGCTCCCCCAAGGCACTGCTGCCCCCCCAGAGCCGCCATCCCTGCGGGGAGGAGAGCATGGGCACTGTCTTCTTTCGTTTAAAAGTATCCAGAGGGACTGCCTGGACACACAGGCCCTTTGTGCAGCCGCTGCACATCCCTCCTGCAGTCATTTTGTTAAAATTTGTGTGCAGTTCGGGGAGGTTGTGCCTGGCGGGGGAAAACCAGAGCTGATAAGGGCCAGCAAGTGCCACTGAAACACACTGAGCTGCTTTGAAGCCAGCTCTGCACAGCCACCTGCCCCTCTCCTCCCCTCCAGCTCAGGGTCCCCCTTTCTGGGATGCAGCTCCAGCTCTCCCTGCTCACCCAAGGGGCCCCCCTGCCATGGGATGTGTGGCAGCTGCAGGGTGGGTGCTGTGCAGTGTGGTGTGGTGGGTGTCAGCCGTGCTGCTCCCGCTCCCTTGCAGGTGGGTGACCAGATGAAGCTGCTGCAGAACTGCTGGAGTGAGCTGCTGGTGTTTGACCACGTCTACCGGCAGCTGCAGCACGGCAAGGAGCACAGTGTGCTGCTGGTCACCGGCCAGGAGGTGAGCAATGGCCCAGGGACTGTGCTCTGCAGGGGTGGGGGGTGGCTGCGGGCACGGGGGGACTTTTTTCTCACTTCTGGCCCAGTGTGGCCCAGGCATAGGGCACACGGGTTGGTTCGCTATGCTATGGGTCTGCTTGAGCAGAAGGTCCCATCCCATCTCATCCCATCCCATCCCATCCCATCCCATCCCATCCCATCCCATCCCATCCCATCCCATCCCATCCCATCCCATCCCATCCCATCTCATCCCGCCACACAGCTCCCGGTTCTGGAAAAAATTATTTTGTATGGAAATTTCAACAGCCCTACCTGTACTCTCAGTGGTAGGATGTGAAGAGGGGCCCCTTCCTTCCCTAGGGGTGGCTTTTGGGGATGGGGTGCCTACAATATCAGCACCCCATGAAGGGCCCTCCTGTTTTAAATGAGGTTCCTGTTTCACCCATTGGCCTTTTCTTTGACACTCCTCATTCTCAGTGGGCACTCAGGGCCGGTTCCCAGCTGGTTCCCAGCTCTTGCCCTGTGTGGGATTCCCTGCAGCAGGTTGTGGGGGGCTGGGGCTGCCAAAGCTGATGCTGTCCCGATCTCCACAGGTGGACATGTCGACCATTGCAGCCCAGGCCGGCTCCATCCTCAACACGCTGGTCCTGCGGGCGCAGGAGCTCGTCCTGCACTTGCACTCGCTCCAGGTGGACCGGCACGAATTCGTCTGCCTCAAGTTCCTCATCCTCTTCAGCCTCGGTGAGCACTGCTGCGGGGGCACTGGGACGAGGGGTAGCCACGCTCAGGGGGGATGGCCGTGCTGGGGTGCAGGGTCCTGGGGGGTGGGAGCAGAGCTGGAGGGAGCACGCACAGCCCAGGGTCTGGCTGTGTGATGAAGGGGCTTTTAATGAGGCGCCGGGAGCCACGGCTGGGACCTGTTTTTCCCCCTCACCAGGGATCCGAAACGTCTCCTGCCACGGGCTGGGCTCTGCTCCAGCTGCAGGGGACACTGCCATCCTCTTGGCCAAGGGGGGCCTGTTTTGGTCCCTTGCCCATCAGGCCAGGCAGGGACACAAGTGCTGATATGGCTGCGGCAAAACAGGCGTGTTGACAGCGGCGGCAGAGCCGGGCCCGCCGTATCTCCCGGGATTTGCGTCACAGGGCCCGAGCGCCGCGCTGGGACGGGGCTCCTGTGCTCCTGATTAGGCTCAGCCTGGAGCCTGTGGCCGGGCCCAGGCGGTGGGTTCACACACTCCCACCTCACCCAGACTAAATAACACCGAGCTGCAGGCGCTGTTGGCAGAGCCTGAAACCTCCCTGGGGTGGCTGAGCGGCTCAGCTCTGATCCTGCCCTGCTCCAACGCTGCTCCTGCCACACTCTGGCCCCACTCCCACCCCCCTCCCACCCTGGCCATCCTGCCCAACACTGCAGGGAGCATCTCCACACACACTGCAGCCAGGGATGTGCCTCCATTCCCTGCAGGCTTCCCCCCGAGGCAGGGGTGCCCAGGGTGGTCCCATCAGAGGAATCTCAGCCACGGGCAGGGCAGTGCAGCTGTGGGTGGTGCTGAGCCCCACAGGGACCCCAAGGGTGCCCAGCTGCCATCATTACAGGTGCTGGCACCTTCCCCTCGGTGGCAGATCTCCCCTCCTGGCGCGAGGCCCGCGAGGGGCTCCTGTGGCTGCCACACTCCTGGCTCATGGCCCTGCCACCACGGCTGCCTCCCTTCCCACACCTCCTCAGTACCTCCCTTCCCACACCTCCTCATCAGCTGCTACCTGCACCCACCAGACAGGACAGGAAGAACTGGCATTTCCCCAGGGAAGCTGGGGTCCCTACAGCGTCCGAGTGCTGGTGCTGGGATGGTGAGCCCAGCTTGTGGCAGACCTGTTTCCATCTCCCTTCTTGCCCCTATCCCAGCCCATCCCTGCCCCTGTCCCAGTGCCTTAGTCTGTGCTTGCCCTTCTCCATCCATGAGGTCTTATCTAGGGACCAGGGGCGGGAGCCACGCTGCCGACCTGTTCTGCACCTGCAGCATCTCCCCCCTCAGCTTTCCTTTCCTCTGGAGCTGTTTTGAAATCCAGAGAAACAAGATGCGATAATTCACTGCTCGAACAGTGATAAGGTGGGGGACAAACAGTGCCCGGGCTGGGAAATGAAGGAGCTGGGGGGGCTCATACCCTGAGCTGGGACCTTCCTCGGCCACTGCCCTGAAGGTTCAGCAGCAGCAGAGCTGGGTCCCCACCCTGCTGCCTCGTGTCCCCCTCTCACCCCCTCGGCACAGCGAGCAGGAACAGCGTCCACCCCGATGGCTTCCCTGGAGCAGTGGCTTTCAGGGAGGGCGTGGAATCCAATAGCTGTGTTTTCCCATACATCCTTTTGCCCCAAATGCAACTTTTTCTCTCCATATTGCAGAGCTCACTTGGAGTAATTTGCCCTTCGCAGGCTCAGCTGTAGAGGACGGGACTGTGTATTATGTGCAGGATGTAATTGCCTTTAACAAGAGAATTTCCACATTTACCACTCTGCCACAGCGCAGTCAAAGCCAAGCCCTGCTCACAAGAGCTGCCATTTGAGTTCTAAATAGATTTCTCTCCTGAGCAGGTAAAGAGATTTAATTAAAATTAGGGCTTCTCAAAATAGCAATATTTATGAGGACGGCACAGGTTAGCTTTGTTCTACAGAAGGGCTTAATAGAGCCTTAATGGATTGACCTATCATTCGATTTCATGACTTACATTCATGAAGCAGCTACTCTTGGGGAGGGGAGGAAGAGAGGCTTTTATAGCCCACATTCCCTTAAGCGTTTGCAATTTATCAGCAGCTTCTCCCAAACAAAAGAAGCTGTGAATAGGAAGAACACTTGAGGGCATAGAAATAATCCCAGGCATATCTGTATGTGTGATGGGAGGCTTTGTCACAGGACAGTCTTTGCAACTGCTGCAGTGTCTCTAAATGAAGTGAGTCAATGTTATTTGGACAACATTCTTTATTCCTTGCAGGAATGAAAAGATTATTCAAATATTCAATTAAACAGTGAATAGGGTCTTTCAGAGAACCAGGTGAGTTCATCGAGTAGAACTAGCTATTGTTGAGCCAACTCAGGGGATAGATTTGACATTTATCAATATAACTTCTTTTTTTTTTAATGACATGCACAATAACCTTATGCAGATAAAGAGATTTCGTAACAAGAACCCGGATAGGAGGAGACAATAGGAGCAAATGTGCCGCCCAGTGAAAAGGGAAGGGTGATCTGATAAAGTGCATCCTGGCACAACCTGTGCCCTTTGTGCCTGCACCCACAGTGCCTGTCCTGGCCGTGGACGTGGCCGGAGCCTGGGGCTCCCTGGGGGCTCATGGAATCCCTGGGGGCTCATGGAATCCCTGGGGGCTCACAGCCCCCCCCCAGCTCTGCCTCTGCTCCCTGGGGGCTCTGTGCTCCCCTCAGCTGCACCTCTGCTCCCCAGCCCCTGCCCCTTGGGGGCTCCTGGCTTTGCTGGGCTGCAGCAGCCTCGGGTGCCGTGGTCCCTTTGAGGGAGCCCTGTGGGGCCAGGTAGTGGTGGGGGGGCCACAGACATCCCCCCCAGTGGCACAGGGGTCCCGTCTGCTCTGTCCTGCTCAGGCAGCTCCATCACCAGCTCTGCAGTTTGCCCTTCCAAATGTTGCTCAGCCCTCTGGGTACAGCCAGGTTTGGCTCCCCACCTTTTTGGGATGAAAACCAGAAATAACCCCCAAACTCTCAGCTGCCTTGGCCAGACCCCATGCCCACGATGTTTCCCTGAATGTGGCCGTGCACGATCAGCTGTGGGCCGTGGGCAGCAGAGCCGGCGGGGCTGTGACCGAGGCAGCACTGCTGGGCTCCTCGTGCTGCACAGTAAATCCACTAAATCTTCTTGCCCCAGCTGGGCTCGGGGCCAGGGTTGGCAGCAAGGTCGGTGTCAGGCAGGTCTGGTACCTTGCTGTGTGTAGCTGTAGGTGGTGATGGGGCAACGCACGGCACCGGTTCCCCAGAGCCACCGAAATCCTTGTGCAGGGCCAGTGGAAGGTGTGTGCTGGTTGGAAGCCAACACTTCACCATGGAGCACTCCCGGCAACCTGAGTGCTGAGGCAGCACCCTTGGAGAGCAAACCCCAGCTCAGGCCACCCCAAATCCTGGAGAATCCCCAACCCAGAAGCGCAGGTTGTCCCCGCAGTCACAGGAGACCACCCCTGCCCTGGGGCTGTGCCTGCCCCAGCTCCTGCAGCTCTGCCTTCAGGCCTGCAGCAGCCTCTTGCTGCCAGACCCTGCCTGCACCTTGGTGCCACTGCCTGCTGCTCTGCTTCCCACCCTGCTGGCAGCAGAGCTGGCAGTGGGATTATGGGAAGCTGCTGCAGCCCTGGCGAGGCGTGGAGGATTAGGGTTTCTAGGCTGGTGAGCCTGGTTGCCACATTGGAAAGACCAGGTTTATCAGGGAATTAATTCAGCCGCTTCCTTGACCTTCAGGAATTAAAGGGGGCTGATGGTAGCAGCTCCCAGTGTGTGAACGCAGCTGGCAGCACCTTCTGGCTTTGCCTCTTCCCGGGCAGCGAGGGCAGGAGGACACCAGTCCTGCTGCCAGGGGGTTTGGAACATGCCTTCAGCATCAGGGGAGACTTGGGAGGCAGAGCAGGGACAGGGAGTCCACGGCGGGACAGGGATGGGGCACGAGACTCCTCCTGCCCTGTGCTTTCCTGCACGAGGAGCACTGACCCAGCAGCGTGAGTCCCTCCTGGCTCACCCCAGCACAGCACGGCGCGGATGGGGCGGACACATGAGCTTGGCACCACTTCATCCTCCTCCTCCTCCTCCTCCTTGCAGATGTGAAGTACCTGGAGAACCACACGCTGGCCAAGGATGCCCAGGAGAAGGCCAACGCGGCGCTGCTGGAGTACACGGTGTGCCACTACCCCCACTCCACGGACAAGTTCCGCCAGCTGCTGCTGTGGCTGGCGGAGGTCCGGGCGCTGAGCATGCAGGCAGAGGAGTACCTGTACCACAAGCACCTGAGCGGGGAGGTGCCCTGCAACAACCTCCTCATCGAGATGCTCCATGCCAAGCGGACTTGAGCGTGGCCGCCGGCACCACCCGGCGCAGCCCCGGTGCCGCCGGCGGCGCGGCAGGGGCAGGACTGGTGCCCGGGGCTGGCTGCCTCCCACCCTGCCTTCCTCAGTGATGCTATTTAACCTCTGCTATTGGAAACCTCCCGGGTGGTTTAACACACAGCAAGGACGGGTGAGGCTGCAGGGCCGTGGGCTCGGCTGCTGAGCTGCCCCAGCCCCACTGCGCACCCGGTGCCTGAGCCCACCACTTACAGACCCGGCTCAGCAGCACCAAGGAAGGGTAAAGCCTGTCCTGGCTTTTCTCCTATTTCTGCTCCTCTCCTGCTACCCCCACCAGCTGTTTCTTCACCTTCCCAACCCTGCCCCATGTCTCAGGGCCCCTCGTGCACAGGGCAGGGGAGAGGTGAGGTGAACCCCCTCCAGGCCGTGGTTTTGTGGTGGTTGGGGTGTCTCCAGGCACTGGGGGAGCACACGGAGGAGCCGCACAGAGCACTGGGGCTGGGCTGGAGGGGTTGGCCCTATTCAGTCCTGTGACCCCAAGGTGCACATGCTGTGTCCCACCGCTGCCCCAGCAAAGCAAGGACAGGCAGGGGTGGGCAGCGCCGAGTCCTCAGCTGAGGTTTGTTTTCCCAGTGCCTGCTGGTGCTGGAGGCAGCAGCTGTGGCTTTGCAGGCCATAGCAGCCACAGTGCCCGGAGCTCATGGGCAGCACAGCTCTGTCCTGCCCCAGCTGATGGTGGCAGAGCAGCCGGGCAGGAGGGAGGTGCAGGCACGTGCCCAGGAGCTTGGGGAAGCTTGGGGAGCTCCGCAGCCCCCTCCCTGCATTTACCGGCCCAAGTGCATGGGGAGGGAGGAATAAGGATTTTCCTGCACTTGGTGTTGGGCCCCCACACCCCCTTCTGTGGTCTGCCATGTCCCCAGGGGACAGCAAATGCTGTGGCGAAGCCACAGGCAAAGAGCTCTCTGTTCCTCTCCCACCACGGGACAGGACTGGGAGCACTGGGGGCTGCAGCTCCCTGAGCTGGGACATGTCGGACTCTCACTGCTGCTTTCTCTCCATCTCAGCCATCCTCTCCTCTCCTCTCCTCTCCTCTGCTCTGCCCCACCAGGCAGCCCCTGCCCGACCCTGGCTCCACGGGCTCCTCCCGCCCAGCCGGGGCTGGCCAGGTTTGCTCCCCAGGGCGGGTGGTCTCCCTGTGCCCAGGGCCCATCACCCGCCGTGGCTCTGCAGAGCCGGTGCCTTGAGGAGCCACAGAGGCTGCGCCCGGAGCCGCGTGGTTTGTGAAGCTTGTTAGACGCAGAAGAGTATGTTTGTCTCTGCTTTAACACCTTTGTGCATTTTCCTCCTGAAGTCTGTGGTTTGGTTTCACCTTCTTCTTTTTGTGAACTCAAAGAACTGGAGAAAATGGTTTGGGAGGTAAAGATGTTTTATTTTCAGAAAATGAAAAGTGTCCTTAAGTGTCTCTCTCTCTCTGTCTCTCACATCCTTTTCTCCCTCTCATCCCTCCCCTTCCCCACTACTCCCCCTTCCTTCCCAGGCAGGAGGTTGCCAACTTCCTTGTCAGGAGCAAACCACTGTAATAAATTTTGCAGTTCATTTAAAAACACAAACTTCGTCCTTTTTGACTGTCTTTCTGCCCCTCCTGGTTGGTGTTTCCCCAGCTCCCCATGGGCAGAGGAGCAGTGCTTGGCTCCCGGTGCCCACTCCTGGGGTGCTGCCTGCCCTTGTGGGACCAGGACACTGCTGCTGCGGGATTCAAGGCATCGGTGCCTCAAGGTCTGGTAAAAAGTGCTGCAGGGAACTGCCATAGTGACTCTGAGCGTGTTTTTCAAGCAAGCTCACGAACGGCAACATTTATCTTAGCAATTATCTTAGTCTTGGATGGCTCATGTAGCTCCTGGTGGTTACCATGGCCCCTGGCGTGGCACACACCATGGCAGGGAGCAAAGCCATGGCAAAGCACAGAGCTCTGCCACAGCCTCTGACTGTCTGTAAGATTTTGGTGCTGGGGTGCCCCAAGGCCCACCCCTCCCTGACTCTGGCAGCTGGAGGTGCTTGGCTGACTCCAGCCAAGTGACATCCACATCCCAATCCCACCTCCTGCCCAGCACAGGGCAGCTCTAGGGCTGCAGAGCCCAACACGTAAATACAGGCTGGGCAGCACACGCTGTGCTGGGATCAGAGAACACGGGGAACACAGGAGAGGGCACAGGGGAGTGGGCAGTGCCCTGGTCCTTGCACTGTGGCCAAACCCCTCCCTGTGCTCAGCTGCACAGAGCCACTGCACGAGCCCCTTCCCTTGGACACAGAGCAACAGGGAGAGAAGATTGTCTTTAAAATCAGCATTTACTGTCATCATAATCAGCAAAATCCCACCACGTTATCTGTGCTCTAAACACTACAGAGGTAACAGGAGAACAGGGAGGGAAAACAGAACCCAGCTGGGAGGGGCCCCACCAGCCAGGCAGGAGCCCGGGCAGGAGCGGGGAGAGGATTTTTGTCATAAACAGCAGAAGATGCTATTGATGTCAGCTGGTTTAGAAAAGGCTTGGAGCCAGCTGCTGGCTTCCCTAGTGCATGTGCTTCCTATGCAGCCTGTCCCCAGCCCTGCCCTGGCACAGTGGTGTGCTGGGCTGGCAGTGGGGCTGGGGAAGGAGCCGTCCTTGCTGGCACAGGGCATGGGCACGGCTGCCACGGGCAAAGCTGGGTTTGTTCCCACCCCACTGCTCCAGGTGCCCAGGCTAAATGAGCTCTGTTAGCAGCAGCAAGTGCACACAACCACGCTGCCAGTGCTGCCGGTGGTGACAGTGACATGGGGCACTGCCCAGGCCAGACTTGGCTGCCCCAGCAGGGGCTGCATGAGCCACAGGGACCCCCAGCACAAGTCCCTGCTGTTGGCTGCACACCCAGGAGAGGAGCAGGGCCATCAGCAGCAGCAGACGAAACCCCATGAGACCCCACAGTACCCCAGTCCTGCCTTGGTTTCACCTGCACGTGCTGCTGGGGAGAAGTGCAGGGTGACAGGGACAGCCCTGCAGGGGAAGCCAGCTCCTCCAACCTGCCGTCCTTCCCAACGGCTGGAAAACCCTCGATGTTGTCGGCTGGTCACCCAGAAACTTCTCAGAAACCTAAAGCAAAAGAGAGACAGTCTCAGCTGTGTTGGCAGCAGGGGGAGGGCAGGGGTCCCTCCCAGGGCAGTGGGAGCACGAGCGGGGTCCCACAGCACAGTGGCAGAAAGCACAGCCCAAACCTGCCTCAGGACAGAGCAGCGGGTGGAGGTGGCTCTGGTCTGGCACAGCCTGTCACTGGCAGAGCTCTGCCATCCCAGAGACCCCCCTGCCCCTTTGGGGTCTCTGTAACACGGTCCTTAGGGCAGGGAGCCAAAGCAGCAGCCAGGTACAGGGCCGTGGCTGCAGGAGAAACCTCTTCTTCCCTGCTCAGTCACCAGCCTGAGCACAGCACCCGCTGCTGAAAGCACGGGAGAAGGAGCTTTAAATGGGATTCAGTGGAAATGCCAGCACTGCCATGGCAGGAAACGCTGATGGCAGAGGGGCTGCACCTCCTGCCCATCGGGAAGGACCGTGGCACCAGCAGTGATCCCACCACAGGGCAGCCCAGCAGGGTGGGCACAGGGGGGCCCTGCGCTTCTCCCCATGGCTCTGAGGCGTTTGCCTGGCTTTGAATCTCAAACACTCACAAATTCCTTATATTCTGAAACCAATCTTGTTTAACGCAATACAGTGAGAGTTGCAGGATTACTCAGTATCGATCACAGGAAGGCTGGGCCGTGGAGACAAGATCCACGTTGCTATGTGTGGCTTAGCAACATATAAACGTATTCAAACAGAATAATGAAATTATCGTGGGGAAACAAAGCAGCCATCACTTGAGGAGATGGAGGATGTGGAAGCCTCTTGGAGCCCTTGTTTGCCAAGACAAGGAAGATGGGACTTATTGTTTGTGCAAATATGTGAGCCCCCCCAGCCATGCCCTGCTCACAAAAAGGGTGCAATGAAGGCGGCAGCACTCGCTGCACAGGGCAGCTCTGTACAGCTGGGCTGGAGCTCATTACTGAAAACACTCCCTGAGCTGAGCCCTCGTGGGGGGAGCCCAAATACTGGGAAGGGGAGAGCCCATGCCTGCCTCTGGCCCCAACCACGCTGCAAAACTCCCCATTTCTCTGGTTCTGAAATTAGCATGGGTTTTATCCACCCTCTTCCTCACCCATCCCATCTCCTACCTCCCCATGGACCCACTGGCCACCTCTTGAGCTGGCAGCCAGTGCCATGCCCACAGCTCTCAGAGGAGCATGGCTGAGGCCCTGGAGCAGACAAGAGCTGGACCCCATTCCATATCCAGCACAACTTCCCTGGGAGGTTGTGAGCACACCCATGAACTGTCCCCAGCCCTCCCCACCGCCCTGAGGGGCAGCTGGCTCTGCCAGAGGATCTGCTGCTGGCAGCACCATTTTCATCCGAGTGGGCTGGAAACTTTGAAATAAAGATACCTGGGGAAAATATGTCTCTTTTCATTAAACTATTTGGGAGACAATAACTAGAAGAGGGGATGGTGTCTGAGCTCAAATGATCTGTCCCTGCTCATCACCAAGCTCCTGGTTTTGGATTTGCTGACCCTGGCGTCTCTTACCCAAGATCTCTCCACAGCACCTTGCTCTGTGAACAAGCTGTGAAGGCAGAGGCTGAGCTGCCCTGGAGTCCTCCAGGCACCCCTGCAGATGGGTGCTATGTCCTTTTATTATCTGCTGTAATGGCTGGAAGCACTTGTGGCTGAGCCCGGAGTGTGGCCGGCACCGGCGCTGTGCCGCACGCGGCTCCACTGCACGAGAGCACAGAGGAGAGCTCTTCTGGTTCAAGATCTTCTCCTTCACCCCGGGCTGAAGGACTGCCCAGCCACGGGCACCCTGGCCCCGGGGACAGGCGGGAGCAGCCGCTCAGGGGCTGGGGGGGGTGGCCAAGCACAGCACTCCCTGCACACCCCAGCCTGGCGTGTCCATCACCCTCCGGGCACACACGGGCCTTTAAAAACACACTGAGGGCCTACCTGAGAAAATAAAACCAAATTTAACAACCCACCTGTTTGCACAGTTGGAGTTTAATAACACACGTGGGTCATAAAATATCCAGGAGCGGGTGAGGGTGGGTCAGAGCACAAATGCATGTGCTGGGTGCAGCCCTTGCTGTCTCTGAGGCACCGCTCCTATGCCTGAAATGCTGCAGCACATCTACTCCTGGCTGCCACCGTTTCTGCCTTTCTCATGTGGCCACTGGGAGGAGGAAAGCTGCACTGCTGCTGGGTGGCATCGTCTCGAAAATATTCTGAGGATGCCCTGCTTAGACACTTCATGTGGAGCAAAATCAGAAACCTGCTAATGCACTGCTTCCCGTGACAAAAGGAAATATCACAATGCAGAAAAAATATGATCATTCCTCACTGCTCTGTCTGTCTGAGGGGCCCCATCCAGAGAATGCGCTGGCAGCACTGGGAGTGCCCAGCAGTTGTTGGTAAAGAAAATAAAGCTAAATATGCTCCATTTGTCTCCTGAGGAGCTGCAGACTTGCCCAAAGCCAGGCTGGGAAGCTGAGGAGGGAGCAGGGAGCTGTGGCTGGCTGGCATCTCCCCAGTGCTGCTGTCGAGCAGAGGTCTGGGGCTTAGGAGGGATTTCTGGTTTTAATTTTACCCACCTCCATGGTGACATTGGCCTTTCTACAACCTGAAACAGAAGATGCTCAATGGCTGCTTTTAAGCTCATAAATCCAGCTCTGTCTGAACACCCCACCTTCCCTGGCTTCCCTTCTTTGGGATCGTGGCACTCCCAGGACCCGCCAGCACTTTCTGCCACCAGCCTGGCCAGGGCAGGACCCACCAGGGCAGTTTGGAAATAAAACGATTCTTGAAGCCTGAGCAGAAACCAGCTGCTCTCTGGGCAGCCCTCCACCACACAGCCCAGCATCAGCAGTGACAAAAATGACAGAAAATGATGTAGGCAAATGTTACCTGAGGATTTGAACGCTGTCAGCTCTACGGCCTGAAAGAGGGGAGAACATGTGTTAGCAGAAGGTGCAGGTCTGACTGCTTTGCTGCTGGTGTCCCCTCACCACACGCCCTGGGGCCAGGCAGGGCTCCCCAGCACCCAGGGCACTGTCCCACCCCTGAGCCACCACCAGGCTGGGAACCAGAGCCTTCATCCCTGCCCTGAGGGAAGGGCTCCTGGCAGAGCTGCACCTCTCAGCAGCAGTGAGCTGACACTCCATCCCACACACCCATTCTAGGGACCCTTCCAGCCCTGCAGTGACCCACCAGGTTGGACAGAATCCTGGAGACCACAGGAAAATCCAGGAAAGGAGGAGAGGGAGCTCTGTCCCTCAGTGCTGTGGTGGAAAGAGCCTGCACAGCCTGTGCTTAGGGGCTGGTTAATGCTCTGGGAGATGTGAAATTCCTATTCCCAGTCCAACAACAACAAATATCACCAAACAACATTTAAAAAAGCTGAAACACGAAGAACATCTCGTCTGTGTTTGTATCTTCACTCGCTCAGTGTTTTGTCATTTTAAGTGTTTTCAAACGTTTTTAAGTAGCTGCTTCTCTTCATCCAAACTATTGTGCAGCTGCCAGTGACATTCTGAATCCGCCGCTCCTGCAGCGAGTGCCGTGACTCACTGAGCTGGGGAGCAGGAAAAACAGCCCTGGCTTATATAAGTGATGAGCACCCACAGCAGCCCCTGTGCGGGCAGAAAGCAGCCCCCACCCAGCACGGGGTGGCACAATGTGCCCACCACCCCTGTGGTGGGGCTGGGGCTGGGATGGACCCTCCCAGTGCC